CCTTGTTTTGTTTTACAACCTTCTTCTACCTTTTCCTCAACTTTTTCCTCTATTTTGTCACTCTCACCATTGATCCTACTACACTCTTCTCCTTCGATTTCTTGAACCGATGATGATGAGACTTCTTCATCCGTTTTTCGTGAATTAAGGACGATTTCTTCAATTTCATTGTCCTCGTCACTTTCATGCATGATTTCCTCTACTTGATCAATATTTGTAACATCCTTATTTATACTTTCCTCTTGCAAAGTTTCATGATCACTAACTTGTTTTTCGTCGTTCTTGACCTCTTCAATCCCACCTCCAATCATTATGCCCTCATTTTGTTTTGGCATATAGATTGTCAATATCGATTCATCATCGTTGTAATTGGCCTTAATTCGATCCAATAACACCTCAAGAGGAATTTTGAACACCTTGATAAAACTCTTTAAATTTGGTTCATTCTTGTGCATTTCCCATCCTTTCATTACCATTTCTTGCACCGCCTTCTCACCACTTATAGAAATTAGTGTTCCATCTTCATTTATGTCGATCTTGACATCTTCCCTTCTATACCCTAAAACAACAACCCAAAAAAATCATAGAAAAAATCAGCAACCTTCCTAATTTAAAGAGGTAAAAAATGCATTAATAGAAGATTATCATATTTAGTTACATATATACAATGTGATACCTCTAAGATGAGCAGTAAGAACAAACTTAGTTTCGGTCTCTCTAGATAGAAACACAGGACCAGCTCGATCTTTAGCAATTCGAAAGTCGGTAGAATGATGATCACCTTTAGTTGTGGTAATCTTGAGGTCTAGTTCAAGCTCCATATATCAAATATGCACTAGAAAAACAAACTACATGGAAAAAATGTACTAAAAAATATGACTTGTACACCGTACCATATATTACGATATATTACATGATGTTGAAAGTTATATTTATACAAATAATATATGGGTATTAAAGAGAAATACATTGGAATAAAAGTGTGTGTGAAAGTAAAATGTGAAGCAGGCCGTAAGAATTGAGAATAAGCAAAGAATATATGCATTTCTTTAAGTTGGCTTTTGTTAAATTTTGGTTTAAGTTTGGTTGCCTTAGCTTGGCGGGAAGATAACGCTTTGATTGATGCCAAATTTAAGCTTTAATTCAATTTATACAAATTACAACCTTTATTTCTCCTCGTTTTGAATGTGAGAATTCTAGATAGATAAAGCTAGGACACTGCTAAAGATATGCAGCTAAATGTTCAAGAAACTACAGAGTAGAATGATAAAATTACGTGCCTATTGTACCACTAAAAATATTAAATGCATCAAATTTATGATAGTTACTCGTACATGAATCAGGTATTAGTTGCATTTTTAGGTTCTACTCCGTATTATTTTATTTTGTATAGACCGTTTTAAAAAGGGTAACTTATCAACTTCAACTGTAAAATGGGTGAGGATGACCTGTATTCAAATATGTAGTACAAAAGTGGCCAAATGCCAAATACATGATATAACAATAAAGATTATTGCACGTGAGATTATGTGAAAGTAAGGTTTTGTCTACAACCGAACTAGGTTTGCTAAAACAGATTTTTTGTTTGAAGAAATAGACAAACTCCCATACAAGTAATTTACTTAAGTGGTAAAGCATATTGTGTCAACTGTCAAGCAGGACTTACGTAATGTCGTAATCACAGTTATTCACAATCACCCGAAAACTTTGTCAAGTGTATGCACCCAAGTACCCAACTGCAAGACGAGTTTAGCTAGGTTTTTTATTTTATTGTTGTTGTTGTTATTGAGAGGATGAGTTTAGTAAGCTTACTAGCTTAGCACATTTTTTAAAAAAAATTAAGGTAAGGGACGCTGACTAGATCTCAATCCTTACGTATTTTTTGTCTAATATTTGCGGGTCAGACACTTTGAAAGTGAGGGAGGAGGATGTAGATATTTAAAAATGTCTCCCTAAAACCAAACCCGATGATGAACAACCTTTCACCGCCATTATTGGTCGAGTCGAGTATTTAATCTCGTGAGTACTTAAAATCCATATTCAATCAAACATAGCATACAAATCAGTACACAAACTAGTCCAAATATTTATTCAAACTCTGTCCAATCCTCATTCTATCCCAAACCCTTTTAATTCATTTAATTCTATTTATTAATTCAGCCCGATTAATAAATATTAGTACCCTAAAACCTAATTAAACCCGGAATAGTTGAAATGACGTCTAATTATCCCCACTACTAGAAATAGGCTGTTTTCCGACGGAATCGTTCCGACGGACTTAAATTCCGTTGGAAAATTCGTTTTTTCCGACGGAATTTTGGTCTGTCAGAAAAGTCCGTCAGAAAAGATAAGTTGCGACGGAAAATCCCTCGGAAATATTCCGATGGATTTATTTTCCCTCAGAATTTACTGCTTCCGACGGAAATTTCCGTCGGAAGCTATAAATTCTGAGGGACAAAAATCCGTCGGAACATATAAAATTCCAACGGATTTAAAAATCCTTAAGAAAATTCCGAGGGATTTAAATTTCGTCGAAATTTCCGACGGAATTTTAAAACCTTCCGACGGATTTATGATTTAAAAAAAATAAATAAATAAATAAAATAAAATAAATAACATTAACCTAAAAAAACCAGATTCCCACCCTATATTCTCATTTCTCTCTCCTGTCTTCTCCTCTTCTCTCTACTCTCTTCTCCTTCTTCTTTTTTCGGTCCTCCTTCATTCCTCCATCCTCTTTCTCCTTCTTCTCTTTCCATTTTCCTTCTTTTCTTTTCCTTTCTCTTTCCTTTCTCCTTTCTCCTCCTTCTCTCATATCTCTTCTCCTTTCGTTTCTTGCAACCACAGGAGCAATTTGATACAAAAATGCTAACATCCTGTTATGAAATCAGAAAAGGCTCGAAGTGTTAATGAAGTGCAATCTCAAGGTTTTTAGGCCAATTTCGACCATTAAAAGCCTATATCTAGACTTTTCTTGGCCGAATTTGGCCTTGTTAAACTGTTTCGTGTGAAAATTCAAGCTTATTTCAATTTAATTTTGTGATTTTGTGATTTTTTTTTTCTTCGTTTTTTTTTTAAATTTTTGGGTTTTAAGTTGTTGTGTGTGCGTGTGTGATGTGTGGGCTGTGTGGGTGGCGATTGTGATGGTGTGGTGGTTTCGTGGATTCTGGCGTGGTTTTGGGTTTTTTTGGGGTAGTTTCGGTGGTTTTGTGGATTGTGGCGTGGTGGGTGACGATTTTAGAGTTGGTTACGTTTTGGTTTCGGTTTCGGGTAATCTAGGTGTTTTGGGTTTCGGGTAGATTTGGGTGTGGTGGGGGTGGTCTGGGTGGGTGTGGGTGTGGGTGGTTATTTGGGCAGGTGGGGTGGGTGTGGGGGGGGTGGGTCTGGGTGGGTGTGGGTGTGGGTAGGGGTTGTTCTTGCAGGTGGGGTGGTGTGGGTGGGGTGGTCTGGTGTGTGGTGTGGGTGGTTGGGGGGTGGTGTGGGTGGGGGTTTGTTCTGGGCAGGTGGGGTGGGTGTGGGTGGAGGTGGTCTGGGTGGGTGTCGGTGGGGTTTTCTGGCAGGTGGGTGTGGGTGTGGGTGAGGGTTTTTCTGGGCAGGTGGGGCTTTTTTTTTGATTGACTTTTCCGACGGAAAATTCCGTTGGAAAACCTCTCCAACTCCGACGGAAATTTTCGTCGGAACGTTGCGACGGATTTCAATTAAGTAAAAAAAAAACGCCGAAATCCGTCGAATTTCGTCGGAAAACACTGTTCGACGGAAAAAGGCCGTTTTTCCTACAAATTGTTTTACGACAACCTGTTCCGACGGAATTTCCGTCGGAATCCCCCATTTTCGACGGAATTCAAGGTGTTTCCGACGGAATTTTCCGTTGAAAATGGCCTTTTTCTAGTAGTGCCCCGTACTTAATGTTAAAATAAAAAGATAAAAATGAATTTAGACGGAATTTCAGAAAAGGAATTTGCCTTGTCATGATAAAAATTCCGCGCCACGGCAGACTCTATCGTGCCACGGCAAATTGTACCGTGTCACGTCAATTTTGCGTCATGACAACGCAATTTCTAGGGTTTTTTTTTCTTCGGAGCGCCTCATTTCTAGGTTTTCGTGCCTCACCTCTCGCACTTCCTCTACAAATACAAGGCTGATTTCTCAGTTTCGGGGCACCAACACACATTCTAATCTCTCTCTCTCATATTCTAAGCTTTAAACCTATTTTCCTAATTACATCATCCCTCCCTTTAGCACTCCCCGGATTCCATACAACACTCGAAATTCCATACTTAAACCAAGGTGTGAAAGTAAGAACTGATTGAGGGTTACTGATTGAGGGTTTGGACCAAATCAACTCTATTTTCCTTTAATCTTATTTCAATTTTATTTATTATTTATTAAAGTACTAACGTTTTTATTCATGATGTAGCAATTTAAAGAAGCGTGGAACGTGAGTAATTAATTCACTTAATTACTCTTATTATTATTCTTATCTAGTATCATGAATAGGGTTATTATTATGATTTGATTTGACTAATGATGTTATGGTTGAATTGCTTTCCAATGTTTGATGTTTATTCTATTATATTGATGACAATATTGCATGCTAAAGGAATATGTAATTGAATGTAACACCTAATAAGATAATTTGGACGAACCGGTTTAGGTTCCTTTTTAATCTTGTTGTTTAACTAAAGTGATCACAATATTATAGAATTATATGTTGCATTAACATTCAACCAATTTAGCCTAATATTAGTTTGGAGCAAATTGAATCTTTGTTTGCATGCCTTTGAGATCGCAGGAAATACTTTTCACAATAAAAATCGAGTAGAGGCCAATACGGGCGAATGTGACTCCATGACTCACTTCGTACCATCATCTCCGATCCTCCTTTCGTGTTTCGAACCATATGGAGTTAGTAATCTCATGGATTATGAATGGGCTGTAACCTTCACGGGTCAATTGTTATTTCCTATCGTTGTCCCTTTATCGTGGTTGCCTTAAATGATTTGTGAACGGTTTACAAGTTCCTTAAAAAACTTGTTGGCGGCTCCTTACTTTCCCTGTCCCTAATCATATAATGTCAATTCCAACTTCCTATGAGTGCCAAGCATATTCACAACATGCTTAAGTAGGCGTGCTTCGAGTGACCCTACAGAGGGTAAGGGTTTGTTGGAAATAACTAGCCTGCCTACATAGCATAGCAAAGCAGCAACGTAGCTCAGCAAGTCAGCAACTAATCTTAGCTATGATCTATGCCATCTCAGTCTATCCTAGTCAGCAAATTTTGTTATGATCAGAAAGTTTGTTTGTAACAACCTGTAACAACCTCTAGTATAAATGTTCATTTTTGCTCTGCTGTATAATAACTAATTCTTTCATAATAAAAATTTCAGTCATTCTTCTTCTCCAAGTTTTTCTCTTCTCTCTTTCTTTTTTCATTTCTAGAATTCTCTGGAAATCAACATGTATCAGTGCATAATATTGCTCAAATCTAATCCAAATTCCGTTTTCTAAGCTCTAGATTTCTCTTTCTACTTTCACTGTCAATTGTTCAAAATTGAACAAAGTTCTTCATATCTTCCTGTTATAGCTTGAATTTTTCTGGAAATGGCACCTCGAAATGATGCAAATGCAGAAGGTTATTCATCACAAATCCAAATTTTGTATACTTCTTGAGCAATTCTGGTCTTACAACAACAAAGTTGGTGAATATAATTTTTGATGGAACTGGTTCCAATGACTGGAAGCGTTCTATGACAATTGCATTGTCATCCAGGAACAAATTATGCTTCGTTGATGGAAGCTTAAATCAACCTGCAAATAATTC